CATCTTTGTCAACTTTTTTTTTTTATTATAAATATTTGTTCTTTGTTCACAGTTCCTCTTTTTTTTTTTTATTATTATTATTATTCATTTATCAATTTTTTTTGTTATTATAAATATCTGCTCATTGTTCACAGTTCCTCTTTTTTTTTCTTTTTTCTTTTTTTTTATTCTTCTCTTTATCTTTTTTTTTTTTTATTATTATTATAAATATTTGTTCTTTGTTCACAGTTCCTCTTTTTTTTTCTTTTATTATTCTTTATCAATTTTTTTTCTTTTTCTTTTTTTATTTCTTCATCTTTATCAATTTTTTTTTTATAAATATTTGTTCTTCGTTCACAGTTCCTCCTTCTCCCTGAGTGAGCAGAAGGAATGGAACAAACGTCTGCTGCACAGGGACGAGAAATTCACTCTCTTCGTACCGAGTAACGAAGCCTGGGATTACATCAAGAGGACGATGCCGTCGGCTCACAAGAAGTTGTTCATGGGGGAGTTTTCGTACCATGTGAGTCGGATTTCTGTTTTCGTTCAGGGGATTTTATTTTCGTTTTGTTCGCGTGTTTGTTTGTTTGTTCGTCCTTGAGGTTTTTTCTTTTTTTCTTTGTCTTTCCGTTTTTTTTTTTTTTGTTTTTCTTTCTTTCTTTTGTTGGTGTTTTTTTTTTTTTTTTTTTGTACCATGTGGATTGCCTTTGTGTTCTGGTTCACAACCCATTCTCCTTCCTACCCTCCCCCTTGTACACTCCATCCCTTCCTCTCCCTCTCTTTCTCCCTCTATGAACCTCAAACCACCTTCTACCTTCCCCTTTCCCTCTCCATTCCTCTCCCTCTCCATCCCTCTCCACCCTCTCCTCCCTTTCCTTCCTCTCCTCCCTCTCCCTCCCTTAACTTCCTCTCCCCCTCTCCCTTCCTCACCCTGTCCCTCCCTTAACTTCATCCCTCACCCTCCCTTCCCTCTCATCCTCCCCTCCCTTTCCTCTCTCTCCTTCCCAGTCTTCCCTCTCCCCCCTCTCCTTTCCCTTAACTCCATCCCTCACCATCCCTCCCTATACCCTCTCCCTCTCTATCCCATCCTCCCTCTCCCTCCTTCCATCCCTCTCCCTTCTTCCTCCTCTCCTTAACCCTCTTTCCTCTTTCCAACTACTCTCTCTCTCTCTCTCTCTCTCTCTCTCTTCTCTCTTCTCTCTCTCTCTCTCCCTCCTCTCCTCTCTCCTCTCTCTCTCTGCTCTCTCTCCCCTCTCTACCTCTCTCCTCCCCTCTTCTCTCTCTCTCTCTCTCCCTCACTCCTCCCCTTCTCCCTTCCCTCCTCCTCCCTCCCTGCCTCGCCTCCCTCCCTCCCTCCCTCCCTTCTCTCCCTCTCTTCCTCTCTCTCTCTCTCTCTCCTCCTCTCTCTCCTCCCGTCCTCGCTCCCTCCCTCCCTCTCTCTCCTCACCTTCTCCTCTCTCTCTCTCCCTCCCTCCCTCCCTCCCTCCCTCCCTCCCTCCTCTCCTCCTCCCTCCCCCTCCCTCCCTCTCCTCTCCTCCTCCTCTCCTCCCTCCCTCCCTCTCCCCTCCTTCCTCTCCCTCCCTTCCTCCCTCCCTCCCCTCCCTCCCCTCTCCTCCCCTTCCCTCCCTCCCTCCTCCCTCCCTCCCTCTCCTCCCTCCCTCCTCCCTCCCTCCCTCCTCCCTCCTTCCTCCCTCCCTCCCTCCTCCTCCCTCTCCCTCCCCCTCTCTCCTCCCTCCCTTTTCTCCTCCCCTCCGCCTCCTCCCTCCCTCCTCTCCCTCACCTCCCTCCCTCCCTCCCTCCCTCGCCTCTCCCTCCCTCCTCCTCCCTGCCCTCATCCCTCCCCTCCTTCCCTCCCCCTCCCTCCCTCATCTCACCAACTGCCGCCCTCCCTCCCTTCTCTCAGCCTCTCGCCATCATTCATTCAACCCTTATGCCCGCAGGTGCGTTACATCCTGGAGCGTCATATGATCGTGGGAGAAGCCTTCAGTCTCGAGGAGCTAGCAGCCCTCACAACCAATTCCAGCATTAGGGGCGGCTTCCAGCACGAGCGACTGCAGATGACCCGCGGCAAGATTTACTTCCAGGCAAAAGTCAAGCACAGTTTTGGAGGTGAGAATGAGGATAGAGGGGAGGGAGGGAAAGAGAGAGAGGAAGGGAGATGGAGAGAAAGGCTGAGATGGAGAGAGAGGGAGATGGAGAGAAAGGCTGAGATGGAGAGAGAGGGAGAGGAGAGAAAGGCTGAGATGGAGAGAGAGGGAGAGTGAGAGTGAGGAGAGAGAGGGAGAGTGAGAGTGAGGAGAGAGAGGGAGAGTGAGAGTGAGGAGAGAGAGGGAGAGTGAGAGTGAGGAGAGAGAGGAGAGTGAGAGTGAGGAGAGAGAGGGAGAGTGGAGAGTGGACAGAGAGAGGGAGAGTGGAGTGAGGTGAGGAGAGAGAGAGGGAGAGTGAGGAGAGAGAGGGAGAGTGAGAGTGAGGAGAGAGAGGGAGAGTGAGAGTGAGAGGAGAGAGAAGGGAAAGTGAGAGAGAGGGAAGAGTGAGAGTGAGGAGAGAGAGGGAGAGAGTGAGAGTGAGGAGAGAGAGGAGAGTGAGAGTGAGTGAGGAGAGAGGGAGAGTGAGAGTGAGGAGAGAGGGGAGTGAGAGTGAGGAGAGAGAGGAGAGTGAGAGTGAGGAGAGAGAGGGAGAGTGAGAGTGAGGAGAGAGAGGGAGAGTGAGAGTGAGGAGAGAGAGGGAGAGTGAGAAGTGAGAGAGAGAGGGAGAGTGAGGAGAGAGAGGGAGAGTGAGAGTGAGGAGAGAGAGGGAGAGTGAGAGTGAGGAGAGAGAGGGAGAGTGAGAGTGAGGAGAGAGAGGGAGAGTGAGAGAGAGGAAGAGAGGGAGAGTGAGAGTGAGGAGAGAGAGGGAGAGTGAGAGAGGAGAGAGAGTGGAGAGTGAGAGTGAGGGAGAGAGAGGGAGAGTGAGAAGAGGAGAGAGAGGGAGAGTGGGAGTGAGGGAGAGAGAGGGAGAGTGAGAGTGAGAGGAGAGAGGGAGAGTGAGAGTGAGGAGAGAGGAGAGTGAAGAGTGAGGGAGAGAGAGGGAGAGTGGAGGAGAGAGAGGGAGAGTGAGAGTGAGGAGAGAGAGGGAGAGTGAGAGTGAGGGAGAGAGAGGGAGAGTGAGAGTGAGAGAGAGAAGAGGGGAGAAGTGAGAGTGAGGAGAGGAGAGGGAGAGGGGAGAGTGAGAGAGAGAGAGAGGAGAGTGAGGAGAGAGACGAGAGTGAGGAGAGAGAGGGAGAGTGAGAGTGAGGAGAGAGAGGGAGAGTGAGAGTGAGGAGAGAGAGGGAGATGGGGAGAGAGAGAGAGGATGGGAGAGAAGAGAGGGAGGATTGGTGGGGAGAGAGAGATAGATGGGAGAGAGAGAGATGGGGAGGAGAGAGATGGGATGCGTGGAAGCGAGAGGGGTGGGAAATTTTGATTGGGGCGTTTTGATGTGGGAGAGTAGAGAGAGATGGATGAGGAGAGGAGAGATGGGGAAGAGAGAGAAAGATGGAGAGAGAAGAGAGATTGGGAGAAGAGAAGAGAGAATGGGTGAAGAGAGAGAGAAGGGAGAGAAGAGAGGGAGAGAGGAGAGAGGGAGAGAGGAGAGAGAGAGAGAGAGAGAGAGAGGTAGAGAGAGAGAGAGAGAGGAGAAGAAGAGGGAGAGAGAGAGAGAGAAGAAGGATAAGAGAGAGAAGAGAGTGAAGGAGTAGAGGAGGAGAGAGAGAGAGAGAGAGAGAGAGAGAAGGAGAGAGAAGAGAGAGAGAGAGAGAGAAGGAGTAGAGAGAGGAAGAGAGAGAGAGAGGAAAGGAGTAGAGAGAGAGTAGAAGGGGAAGAGAGGAAGAGTAGAGAGAGAGGAGAGAGAGAGAGGGAAGAGTAGGAGAGGAGAGAGAAGAGAGAGAGAGGAAGCGAGTAGTAGAGAGGAAGAAGGGGAGAGGGAAGGAGAGAGGAAAGGAGTAGAGAGAGAGAGAGAGGAGAGGAGATAACCAGAGAGAGAGAGAGAGAGGAAGGAGTGATGNGGATGAAGATATGAAGAGAGAGGGACGAGGAAGTGAATGAAGACATAGAAGGGAGGAGGAGGTTGACGGGCAAGAAGGGCGGAGCAAGAAGTGGATGATGGGCGGGAAGCGAAGCGGGATAGAGAAGAAAGGAAGACGAAGTAGAGGAGGAAAAGGGAGAAGGGAGAAATGAAGGATAAAAAAGGGAGAAAGAGAAGGCGGATGGAGAAAAAAAGAAGAGAATGGTCCTGAAGGAAGTTCCTGAGAGTGATGAGCTAACATTTCTTCGACTCCCATGGCGAACGTATAATAATAAGAAAGAAGAGGACAAGAAGCAGAAAGGAATAAACCCCCGAGACGAAAATGAGAAAAAAAACAAAGTCGGCACATTCTGAGCGTCCTACGCCAACCCGCCCCGCCCCTCGCCCCGCACTACCCAGTTCACAACAGGTAGACCCGGCAGAGGTTGTAACCTTAAAACCTCAACAAAACAGCATCATAAAGACTATGCCCCCTCCCCCCCCTACGCCCACACGCCCTCGCTGCCGCCCGCCCTCGTTCAGGCACTAGGGACGGTGGTGATGGGTGGGGGGGGGCAGTTATCATGGTAGGAGGGGGAGAGGAGGGGGGTGAGAGGCTAGGGAGGTTTCCTTCCCTCGGCCAAGCAGACAAGAGCGCTCTTGACCGTTCTAGCCCTCCCTCCCTCCCTCTCTCTCTCCCCAACCCCTTTCTATCTCCCTTCCACCCCACCCCCAACCCGCCGTTAACAACATCTGACTGTGATAGCTGTCGTCCCGTCTGTATTTTTGGTTATTAATAAGGAGTGCCTACCGAAATATGCCAACACGAGTCTCAGAGAGAAACAGAAGGGAGTTTACAAGTTAAGAGGGCGAATAGCACATCATGGTCGATCAGGCAGCCAGTGCTCTCATCTCTTCTCTCTCTCTCTCCTCTCTCTCTCTCTCTCTCTCTCTCTCTCTCTCTCTCTCTCTCTCTCTCTCTCTCTCTCTCTCCTCTCTTCTCTCTTCTGTGTGTGGTGTGTGTGTGTGTGTGTGTGTGTGTGTGTGTGTGTGTGTGTGTGTGTGTGTGTGTGTGTGTGAGAGAGAGTGAGGGGGAAAAGAGGAGAGAGGAGAGAGGGAGGGGAGAGAGAGAGAGAGAGAGAGAGAGAGAGAGAGAGAGAGAGAGAGAGAGAGAGAGAGGAGGGAGGAGAGAGAGAGGAGGGGGGGGAGAGGGGAGAGAGGGAGAGAGGGAGAGAGAGAGAGGGAGAGAGAGGAGAGAGAAGAGAGAGAGAGAGAGAGAGAGGGAGAGAGAGGGGAGAGAGGGAGAGGGAGAGGGAGAGGGAGAGGAGAGAGAGAAGAGGGAGAGGGAGAGGGAGAGGGAAGAGAGAGGAGAGAGAGAGAGGAGAGAGAGAGAGAGAGAGAGAGGAGAGAGAGAGAGGAAGAGATGAGAGAGGAGAGAGAGAGAGAGAGAGAGAGAGAGAGGGAGAGAGAGAGAGAGAGAGAGAGAGAGAGAGAGAGAGAGAGAGAGAGAGAGGAGAGAGAGAGATGGAGACAGAGAGAGAGGGCGAGATGAGACAGGAGAGGAGGAAAGATGAGACAGGGAGAGAGAGGAAAGATGGACAGGGAGAGAGGGAAAGATGAGAAAGAGGGAAAGATGAGACAGGGAGAGAGGGAAAGATGAGACAGGGAGAGAGGGAAAGATGAGACAGGGAGAGAGGGAGAGAGGGAGAGATGAGACAGAGGAGAGGGAGAGAGGGAGAGATGAGACGAGAGAGAGGAGAGAGGGAGAGATGAGAGAGAGAGGAGAGATGAGAGAGAGAGAGAGAGCGCCAGCCAACACGCCCAACACGAGCTCAGAGCCTTCCTTCCACCTCTTCCCCCCCCAACCCCGACCCCCATCCCACCCTTTCCACTTTCTCTATTCACTCCTGTCATTTGCTGCTCCTCTCCCAACACAGCGCTGCTTCGTGAGGGTTTATTTATTCACACGTTCTTGCATAACCTACAGCTTCCGTTCTATCGGTTAATGTTATTTTTCTCTTCTGGATAATTCTGCTCTCAGAACTGCATGAAGACGAAACTGACTTCATCCAACACCAAAATCCTTCCTAGTCTGTGAGCGGCGGCAAAGGACTCGACTCGATCTAACTAAATTCTACTCCAACAAAAACCTTACTCAACGGAGAGAAAAGACAGAATATCAGACACTCAAGAACAAGCGGGCAGACACAGACGTAGACCACACGCGCGCGCGCGCGCACACACACACACACACACACACACACACACACACACACACACACACACACACACACACAGACTTTGTTTTATCTGTTTGTGTCTATCTCTCACCCACACTCACACGATCAATAATATTTAACGCCCAAAATCCTAACCGGCGGTGACGTCACCTACCCTCTGCCCCTCTCCGCGGATCCGTCCAAGCCAGCCAATCCGCGTGTCTTCGTCCGTCACTTATTGAACTAGTCGCTTGAATGTGAAATCTTCGGCTGAGTCCAGTGACTTTTTTAAAAAACTAACTATTCCTTCCAAATATCAATAAGGACCATTTACTACTACACCTATCATCGCTATCTACAAAGCTTACACTTCTTACACTGTCAACATAATAGCAACAACAAAGGAAAAATAAGTACCGACATCAACAAAACTACCAAAACAACCGACCTACAAACAAGAGACCTATACGTGCTTCACAACTCATATTCCTCCGTATGGGGACACAGCCACAGGATTAGGGCAAGATGACACGGCGCCTCAACACCATAACGCAACGACTACAAAAAAACATCATTTCTGAGTCGTGACACGAAGGCCACACCGAGAGGGAAGGTCGTGACCAAAAGGCGTGACGGCAGCTCGATTGAAGAGGGAATACACAGGAATATCGCATCGCGACTGTAAATAATAGAGACAGCAGTGTGAAAAGAAACAAATAAAACAGCAACAATAATAAAAATGATGATGATTACAACAACATATCTTAACGAAGTGCCGTGCCCCTGCAGACGTTGGCGACCATGAAGTGCCACACCTGTCTATCTCTTGTCACTTGCAGAATATATGCAGCTTTGTTTCCACCTCCTACTGCCCTTCTTATTCCATCCATGTACTTCTCCCTGTGTCTGCCTCTTGCTCTGCAACCTGGGATTCTTCCTTTTAAGCTTAGGTACCCTATCTTTCCCCCTCTCATTACATGTCCTACAAACCTGATCTGTCTTACTCTCGTCTTCACCAGTAATTCTTTTTTAGTGCACAATCTTCTTAGTACTTCTTCATGTTATATTTTCTCTGGCCAAGACATTTTCAAAACCCTTCGTCAGCAACACATTTCAGAGGCTTCCATCCTCTTCTCCATCTGTCCATTCATCGTCCAGACTGCTAATCCGTACAGCACTGACCATATGTAAGCTTTAACAGCTCTTTGTCATTTTTAAATGATAGGTGGCTATCGCTAAGTATGTTTTTCATATTCTGAAATGTCTTCTTTGTTTCACATAC